GTGACTTGTATTCATCTTTTGTTATCGGTATGTATTGAGATTTATAATTTTAATACAGTTTTTCTTTCTTAAAATGTGTACACATTTTTTTTGGTACCCTGTCTATATAAGGAACTCATACAACTCACAAAAAGACAATCCAATTAAAAAATGGACAGAGGACTTGAACAGATCCTTCTCCCAAGAAGACATACAAATGGCCAACAGATATATGAAAAAATGCTCAACTTCGCTAGCTATTAGGGAAATGCAAATCTAAACCACAATGACATATTGCCTCACACCTGTTAAAAAAATAGATTTTTTTTAACCCATGAATCAAATAAGGAGATGGTGTGCTTCTCAAAGATGCACAAACACCATAAAACTTCCAGCAAGTGGTATTTCTGTGTTTTTAGCACACACAAACTCAGAAACTACTACAGAACTATCAGAAACTCCAGAAATAGAAATATTAAGGACCAAATCTGCCAGCAAACATGTTATTTTAATCTTAAGCATATTTGAGAAAACGTTTGGAAGTAAGAGGTCTCTGACACCTAGGAACTTCTAGACATGAGCCACAATTGCCAGAGAATGATGCAAGGAGAGTTTCTTTCCCCAGTAGAGTGCCTTCTAAGACGATCCAAAAGGAAGAAGTCACCTGGCTTGTAAACTCCAGAATGGAAGGGAATTGCAAATACAAAAAAGAAGTAGAAAGAAGGTAAATAAATACCATCTTTTGGGACAAAAAAAATACAGAATATAAGAAAGGCAGTCTAGTGTCACTAAAGTAAAGGAAAATGTAGGACTTAGGATAACATAAAGACAGTTGTGGTAGTCTTTCTTTTTTTTTCATGATTTTTAAATTAGTTTCAGGCATACAAAAATAACATAGTGATTAGACATTTATGTACCTCCCAAAGTGATAACCCCAATATATCTATTACCTATCTGACACTGTACAAAGTTATTACAATACTATTATCTATATTCCCTATGCTGTATTTTACATCCCTGTGACTATTTTTATTTTAATGAAGTTGACATTCAATATTATTTTAGTTTCAGGTGTACAGAGTAGTGGTTAGACATATGTATAATTTACAAAGTGATCCCCCCATTAAATATAGTACCCATCTGACATTATGCATAGTGTTTACAATACTATTGACTATATTCCATATTCTGTGCTTTACACCCCTATAACTATTTTGTAACTACCAATTTCTACATTTTAATCCCTTGTCCTTTTTCACCCATCCCCACAATCCCCACCCATTGAGTAACCATCAATTTGTTCTCTTTATTTATGAGTCTGTTTGTGGTTTGTTCCCTTATTTTATTTTTTAGACTCCACATATAAGTGAGATCATATGGTGTCTGTCTTTCTCAGTCTGACTTATTTCACTTAGCATAATACCCTCTAGGTCCATCAATGTTTTTGCAAATTTTAAGATTTCATTCTTTTTTATGGCAGAGTAAGATTCCATTGTCTATATGTACAAAATCTTCTTTATCTGATCACCTATTGATGGCATTTCAGTTGTTTCCATATTTTGGGTACTATAAATAACACTGTACTGGACATAGGGATGAATATATCTTTTTGAATTAGTGTTTTGGATTTCTTTAGATAAATACCCATGAGTGGAATTGCTGGGTCATAGGTAATTTCTATTTTTAATTTTTTGAGGAAACTCCATACTGTTTTCCATAGTGGCCACACCAATTTGCAATCCCACCAACAATACACAAGAGTTCCTTTTTCTCTACATCCTCATCACACTTGTTTGTTGATTTATTGATGATAGCCATTCTGACAAGTGTGAGGTGTATCTCATTGTGGTTTTTATTTGCATTTCTCTGATGATTAGTGATGTTGATCATCTTTTCATATGTCAGTTGGCCATCTGTATGTCCTCTTTGGAGAAATGTCTCTTCATGTCCTCTGCCCATTTTTAAGTGGGTTGTTTTGTGGGGGGTTTTGGTGTTGAATTGTATGAATTTTTTAAACAAATTTTGGATATTAACCCCTTATCAGATGTATCATTTGTAAATATCTTCTGTCATTCAGATGTCTTTTCATTTTGTTGATGGTTTCCTTTGCTGTGCAAAAACTTTTTAGTTTGACGTAGTCCCATTTGTTTATTTTTTCTTTTGTTTCCCTCACCCAAAGAGATATAGCATTAAAAATATTATTAAAGGTGATGTTTGGGAGTTTACTCCCTATTTCTTCTGGGAGTTTTATGGTTTAAGGTCTTACATTTAAGTAGTTAACCCATTTTGAGTTTATTCTTGAATATGGAGTATATGGTCCAGTTTCATTTTTTTGCATGTACCTGTCTGGTTTTCCTAGCATCATTTATTGAATAGAATGTCTTTGCCTCAGTGTGTATTCTTGCTTACTTTGTCATAGATTGAATGACCATACAGGCATGGGTTGATTTCTGGGCTTTCTATTCCATTGATCTATCTGTCTGCTTTTATAGCAATACCAGGCTGCTTTGATTATTATGGCCTTTTAGTAGACTTTGACATCAGGTAACATGATAGCTTTGTTCTTCTTTCTGAAGATTGTTTTGGGTATTTGGGATCTTTTATGGTTCCATATAAATTTTGGGATTATTTGTTCTAGTTCTATGAAAAATACCATTGGAATTTTCACAGGGATTGCATTGTATCTATAGATTGCTTTGAGTAGTGTGAATATTTTAACTATATTAATTCTTTCAATCCATGAGCATTGTATATGTTCCCATTTATTTTCATTTTCTTTAATTTGTCTCTTCAATGTCTTATAATTTTCTGAGCACAGGTATTTTACTTCCTTGGTTAAATTTATTCCTAGGTATTTTATTTTATTTTATTTTGATGCAATTGTAAATGGGATCATTTTTTTAATTTCTCTTTTTGATAGTTCATTATTGCTGTATCCAAATGCAAACAATTTCTGAATATTAATTTTGTGTCCTGTTACTTTATGAAATTCATTTATCAGTTCTAATAATTTTGGGTGGAATCTTTGGGGTTCTCACTATATAATATAATGTCATCTGCAAATAATGACAGTTGTACTTCTTCCTTTCCCATTTGGATGCCTTTTATTTTCTTGTCTAATTTCTGGTACTATGCTGACTAAAAGACGTAAAAGTGGGCATTTTTGTCTTGTCCCTGATCTTAAGGAGAATGCTTCTAGCTTTTCCCCATTGAGTGTGATGTTAGCTGTGGGTTTGTCATATATGACCTTTATTATGTTGAGGAATATTCCCTCTATTCCCACTTTGCTAAGAATTTTGATCCAAAATGGCTGCTGGATTTTGTTAAATTCTTTTTCTGCATCTATTGATATAATCAAATGATTTTTATTTTTCATTTTGTTTATATGGTATATCATTTTTATTGATTTGCAGATATTGAACCAAATTTGTGGCATTTTTCAAAAGCAGTAATATAAATAAGTCAAGCTATTAATTCAGAATTTCTTTCCTAGTGTAAGAGGGTGAATTCAATGTTTGTCTAGTTTTCTTAATTTATTTAGTAATAGATAGAGCTGACTTTGTTAAATCCATGACTTGAAATTGGCTTAAAGCAAGATTAAGATCAGCAACTGCCAGCATTTTTTTTGTCCTTTAATGAATGAGTCATTCTTCTCTGACCTTTTAAAATTGTTGCTACACTAAAGAAAACTTTACAATATAATGGATGTAATCTAAGAATTTTTGTATATTTTAACTCATAATATTCCTTCCGTTTTTGAAGATTTTGCAAACTAATAGATTCACCTTCACAAGTTGAAATGTATTTCCTGCCTCTTCAGTATGTGGTACAATATAACCTGTCATGTCTGCATATCAGACTGTGTCACAGTGTCTGATAATACATTTCTTATAGTTTTAGCTAGCATTGGTTCAAATCATTGCATTGTCACTGAATTACAAGTAACCCCAATGAGTAAATTTTCTCATGAGCTCTCGCCTTTCTAGTTTATTTTTGTACAGCCATTTTGAATAGGCAAGAAAAGTAACATTTACCTCACAACAGTTCATGCTTCCTCTATACCTCTGATTACCATAGTGATAGCTCTTTGTGCAAAAAAGAAACATTTTTATTTTGATGCTGTTTTTGCTTGCAGATTCAACTCTTATGTGAACATGAAAACTATCCCTGTTTTAAATGCAACTTTTTTTTTTAAGGTCACCTTGCTTTATTTCATGCAGAATATAAATGTTACCTTTAAATCCACATAGATTATAGAGGGCTCATGGCTCAGTGGAGGAACATAGCAAGAAAACCGCCTCTAGGTAAAGTAGCAGGATGGCTAGTGCTGGTCTTACTTCTGCCATCCTGGCCCTGTTAATGGAGTGAAAAATATACCGAACTTGACAATCTCAGTGTTGACCACTGGCAAATGTCGTTACCACTATGAATCTCAACTGTATTATCTAGACAATGGAGATAATACCCTACTATGTATAAAATGGGAATAAAGTCTACCTCACCTATTTCTGTGGATGTTAAGAGGGTTAAATTAGCTTATATATTAGGAAGTGCTGTGCAAACTCTAAAATGCTGTTCAAATGTAAGATAGCATGACGGTAACTTTTACTAAGTACAATAGAAAGACTAAGCAGTAGACTTTGTGCAAAGAGCCTCAATGTGACTGCTGTTTCCTTCTTTGGAAATCTCTCCCCAAACTGCCAACTGACTTCATTTATGTTTATATTCTTTCAAGCTCTTTGATTTAGAGCTGGCACCACTTCATTGTAAATATATAACACTATGCTCACATCACCCTAGAGGCCAATGTCAGGGCTTGCTGTATAAAGACCTTCAGTTCAGGGCAAGAACTAGAGGCAAGGTATAGTGATTGCTTACACTTTAGTGACAAGGCCAGTAGCCCACAGCCAAAACTCACTAGCAATCACATAAAATGTCCTCTTTCAGCCAGTGTTAAAATATGTCACGAAATCTTTTTAATCAAAATTAACATCTCTTTTGTTTTACCTTTTCTTTTAAAGCAACTTATGATGTTTTCTCAAGCCCTGAAACATCAGATGAGCCTGAAATATCAGAGCTCCACACAGGTATACCCAGTCTCTCAATTCTTTCTTTGGATTCTGGTGTTCTGACAATTCTGCGCCTAATCCTCACTTTAATTTTTGCTAAATGAAAAAGTGTGCTCTCTAGAGCGCCACAGGAAAGAAACGGCAATTTGTTTCAGGGAGAGTTCTACTGACTCCTCCCATTGAGGGATTATTTTTTAATATCTCAGTAAATAAGCTCAGCCACAAATGGGAGATACAGATAGATTTGGTTGCCACTGAGGCAAAGTTATGTAATGGCCTATTGCTCTACTGTTCAGAATCATTCTAAAAAGGTTTTAGAATCCTAGAGTTTTCTCTAGAGCAGTGGTTCTCAAATAGGGGTGATTTTGGTCTCTTCTCTCACCATGGGCATTTGGCCATGTCTAGACACATTTTTGATAATCACAAGTGGGGGAGGTGCTATTGACATTTAGTGAGTAGAGGCCGGGGATGCTGCTCAACCTCTATAATGCACAGGACAGGCCCTCACAATGAAGAATTATCCAGTGTCAATAGTTCTGCAGTGAGAAATCTTGCTCTAGAGTAATCATGTCATTTGTCTACAGATGTTCAGTTGGGTCTATTTTTGGCTTTCATTTACTGACCCTGCAACAGTGAGTTTAACTCAGCCCATTGTCCCTTTTAGCAAGTGTTTATTAAGCACCTACTAAACTTGGTACTGCAAAAGATTTAAAGTAAGACTGGTCTCTGTGAGACATACATATATGTCTGATATTTTTTGTGTGTATAACCTTATCTCAGCATTATTTGTGTCATGATAAACAAAAGCAAATAATTTTAAACAGCAGAAAATAAGAAAAAAAAATGAAATAGGATGTTATGGGTGGATTCAGTTAGTAGTTAAGGAACAGAGAGAAGCCAGAAAAACAGTTGAAAATAAGTTGAATATGTGAGACACTGTTTTATCATGGTTTCTAATGTTTAAAGTATATATATATTTTTTAAAGTGAGCTCATCTCCAACTTCTAATGAATCACTCATTTAAAAATGTTGATCAGCAATCTCTCAAGTGTTCTTGATATTTTCCCCATATGAGGTGTAATTTATTACTCATGAATTTGTATTTTATTCCTGGGGCCTTCTACTGCTTTTACAAATGTTGACATTTATTCCAACAGCAAGAAGTGATCCATTTCTGGATTCTGTCCCACCTAAAACTTCTAGAACTCTTGAACAGCCAAGGGCAACACTGGGTAATGTTTTTAACAGAAAAATCATTCTTTGTTTTTCATCAAAAGAAAATCCATGTGAATGCCTGTCTTCCAAATGACCATTTCATTCCATCACATCTAATCATTTATTTCTTTCCTCTTCCTATTTTTTTTTCCCTATAATGCAGGCATCTTATGTTCCATTTGGGGCTCTTTTTTTTTCTTTCAACTGTGATAGATAATATATTTTTCCATCCTTAAAGAAATGAAAAGCTTGAAAACTGCATGGACATTTTCATCATCCATATCATCCCATCTCACGTGTTTGTGGCCTATCTCGCCTCCTTTCCATGCCTTGAGTCTGCCTGGAGTCAACTACTGAACAATTATCATTCTGACCTCTTCCCCACTTTACATAATTATTTTATCCACCAGTTTTCCAGACTACATGCATTCTTCATTCTTAATCATGCACTTCTAGCATGTGCTTTGTAACACCATCTAAAAGCATGTTAAAACTCCTAAAATACCTCATTTTAACTGGAATTACTTGGTGGGATGGGGTAATTGTGTTTTCAGATCCAAGCGAAATGCCATTTGATTCTCAAAAACTGGAAATCATTACCAGTCCTGAAATGCGACCTACAACATCTGGTAACTAACGGAATCTATGTAGTTGTGTGCTTTGAAAGAATAGATAAAGTGATAAAAAAGAATCCGTCATGTTGGCCTTTTCAGAATATTTTCAGTAGTAAACATTTCCCTTCATTCTCTGCCATGAAACACTTCAAAGAACTAGGCTAACTATTATACTTAGCGTTGTGATAATCCTCAAAGGGTTTCCATAATTTTGGTGTCTCTATATTTTGAAGAATTATTTTTTGCTACACTCCATTCAAATTTGCCATCTAGAAAATAGCAAAATTATAGATGATCATCATTTTAAAATATATTTCCTTCTATTTAGCACATTTAGAAACCACTTGGTAAGGGTATTTTTCTCAAAGTAGTCTAAGTATAAGAGCACCAGTAGGCTCTCCAGTCCTGTATGTGGGGAAGAATAATGGGTAAAAGAAAGGTAACAAAACCTAAAATTTATAATAGACAATTATTGGAATAATGAAGTTCATTAACTCCTGCTGAGGTTAGTAATACACTGTAGAATTAAAGAAGTTCTGAACTTCCATTCTCTAAATCCCAAACATTTTTTTGTGTGTTTCTTCCCTGCTGTTTAGAAAATTATCTTTTGGGTTCTGAACTGTACCATGTGTTCTTAAATTCCTCCAGGGTGCTCGCTTTGCAGTACATTTATCTGAACAATGTATCTTAAATTCTCATACACACATTTAATTCCTTTGGCTCAATCAACATTTATTGAGCACTTACTGTGAATAAAGCACAGTGCTGGGCACTCTGGGAATATAAAGAAATAGAAAGCAGTCTTGCACTCAATAAATTTCCAACTTTACAATTACAACCTGAATAATCCCTGAGAAATATCATTTATGAAAGCTATTTTAAATCTTCTTTCAGCTCCCCTGCAAACTACATCTATCCCTTCCACACCTAAACGACGCCTCAGACCCAAACCACCAAGAACCAAACCTGGTAAATAAACGTCTCTCTAACCTTTCAGGATATTTAATTTCAAATAGGTAATACCCATCTCCTTACCATAAAAAGAAGTGATATGGTTCTATAGGTTAAAGTTTCTATACAAAATTTGAAACTAACTAAAGATGAATAATTGATAATGCCAAAACACCAAGAATCAATAATTTCTAATAAGATTTTATTGAGAGTTATATAAGTGATGTTCTTCCATGTGAATTTTGGTATAAACTTAGAAACAAGTTCTGCTATCACAGCATGATAGAGCGACATATATAGATAATTCATTTTCTTGGTATGCCATCTATATTTAAGTATTTATTAGGCTGACAGTTCTTGTTTTCTGGTGCCTACTATGTTTTCAGTTTTGCCCTAGGGAGATGGCTGAGATGGAGATAATATGACTCTGGCTTTCCAATTTCTAATAATCTTTTTTAAAGATAATACACCATAAACAATGAGAGAGCAACATAAGATTATATATTCCACTTGTGATATTACAATACTTGCATAGAAGGACATGAAAAGAAAGTAATAGTTGAAGATGCAAGCTTCAAAATATGTGTAGGATTTGGACAGAGAGTAAAAAGGAAAGGGAACAATATATTTTAAGGCACAGAGTTTGGGAGGTAGAGGTAGGTTATCAACCTGGAGGAGATTATATTCATTGTCAAATAATACACTCGGAATCATACTCAGCAACCTGGGTTTTGCTTTTTCCATTGTAATATAAGTACAGTATTTTATAGCCTATACTATTATGACAGAGTTTGAAAATTCTTTCCCAAAACTTTTATTCACTGCATACTTTGTAAACACTGACTACTAAATATGGCAGGATTTTAAAAAAGGTCATTCAGTTCTTCTTTGGAGAATATTTTTTTATTGTCTCTAGGATACCTGAATATTTCTTTTCCTTTCCATCGCCAGAAAGAACCAAAAGTCCTGGGACAACTACAACTAAAATTTCTAAAAGCCCTGAACCTACATGGACAACGCTGGGTAATGATATATCCTCAGTAGATGTGTTACTTTAGTTCACCATGGAAAACCTAGTACCCCAGCTCTTATGTAATGTCTAAATCACTATTCTAATGGGTTCATCTGACAATACTCATACTACACTGACACTGGCTTTCATGGTTTTGAATAGCTGACCCTACAGTTAGTGGATGTGAACTCAACATTAGACATCATTCTATGTCATGGAAAGCTGTTACATCACTACTTGTTTCTCTTTTTTTTATCTAATCATTGTATTTGAAGTTGGGTTGTATACATAATCCCCCTTTTTTTTTTTGCACAAAGCCCTCAAGTTCAACTTCAGACTTCATTTGGAAAAATAACTTTCTATTATAGTGTTAGAATTTTTTTATGCTGCAGATCATAGCATTATACCTAATCAGTAAATATTAATTTAAAAACATGTCTTTTTTCTGATGCTTAAAGACTTAGATGTAGCTGAGAAATATAAAACAAGTGTGCAAAATGATTACACTGTTTTTTTTAAAGCATGGATTAAAATTACTGTCTTTGCATAGTTGTTATGACTATTTAGCAGTACTGCTATCTCTGTTAGGTCAATTATACTCTAGAAATACATTTTCAAACCAAAAGAAAATTTATCACTCTGTTTCCATTAAATACTGCTCTGTGAAATATTTTTTTAATGGATGATTTCCAAAATGTTCCAAGATGGTGGGTTCATTTTATTTAAAGAATAGGTTTTCCTTTTGTGGTTTTAGCCACTGAAATGCCTAAATATTGATTTCTTGATTATTTTGTTTCTTTATTTTTCCAGCTCCCAGTAAAACACAATTTATTTCTTTGAAACCAAAAGCCTCTCTCAGCCCAGAACAGACACCCATCAAACCTGGTAATTACCCTGAACTTTTTTTAATATTCCAAGAGTAGGGTTGAAATATTGTTTTATGCCATTCTTTGGAGCAAGAACTTCTGATTTGTATTTTGGTATTTGACACATTTTGCTATGAAAAGTACAAAAATGTGATGAAATAATCTCATTATAACCAGCCCCTCTGATATTACAGCATTGCTCTGAGCTGTGTGGAGGGTCATTATGTTCATGACTATCACAGAGAAAACACAAAAATAATATGATGTGAATGATTGAGGACTCCCTCGTCTAGGACTAGGAAATAGTTTCCAGTACCAAAGTTGGCTGGAATTCTGATCACGCGGAACAATCGCCTTTCAGCTTGAAAGGGGAATAGCGTTTCCATCCCGGAAGAACCCTGCCTTGTTTGGAGCTCCTCACTTCTCAGGCTGTAAGACTAGAATGGGTTGGATCTCCCTGGCGCTCCATAATTTCTTCCTGAATTGGGGCTGATTTCTGAACACTGACTTCTGTTTACTTCTCAGGAGTTATTAATGGTGTTTTGCAGAAGAAGGTTCTTTTGCAGGGAGGGGTTATTTTGTGTGTATAATTAAAAACATACAATTTCCTGCATAAATATCGCGGGATATAGTGAATGACCAAATCTTTGTGTTTTCTATCCAGAGCCTATACAGCAGTGTAAATGCTGACTTACAAGATGGTATATGGGACCTTTATCACTATTTGTCATTTTCATCTAAATTTTGAACCCATAGCTCTGGGAGGGATATATTTCTCACAGTAATGTTCAATGGATTTTTCATTGGTGCATGTTTACAAAGTAGGATTATTAAAGCAAGAGATTTTCTGCTTAAGTAGGTATGATTTATTTTTTGCAATGAAATGGGTCAGGAAGAAAGATATAACTGCTTAGAAAAACAATTCTCATGACTCCCTTTAAAGAGGAAGTGAGATTTCCAGGTGTAGGTATCAGACTGAAGGAAACTAAGGATTAAGCAAAGGGAATGTAGTTGACACTGACCATGGTTGAGGTCTCCAAGTCAGAGAAATGGAAAGAAGTATTCTTAGAGAGGTCATCTAGAGAAAGAAGCATAGCTAATAAAATTCAAGAGCCCTAGAAGTTACAATCAATGTTGACAGTGAACTATATGGGTTTATTTTAAAATCATGCTTGGAGGACTTTGGAATAAGGAGGTAACTACTATATTTATACTATATTTTGAATACAGGACTATTGCCAAGCAGATTGAGAAATATTACTGTATGTTTGGGTCACCGAATTTAAATAAATATTTCTCCAATCTAATTATTTCTATTATAAGATAAAAATTGAAACATAAAAAAGGTCTCCAAATGTTAATTAGAATTTACACAAGGTAAGTTACATTATTAATTTCAGCAGTTTCTAAAAAAGGTTTCTGAGAGGAAATTCATTAATACAAGTAAGAGTGGGAGGGTGTGTTATTATTCTAAGGTGTTTGAGCAAAGAGACCTCTTAATTTGACATTTCCTTTTAAAGTGTGGAAAATTATTTGGAAGCTTAATGAGTTTATATTCCTTTGATTTCTACCTTCTAATCACCTAAGAATATCCACACTTTTCCCCATAACAGCAAATATGACCACTTCAGAATCTGCACCTAAATTTATGCCAACTCAAATTGAAATTGAGTGGTCTGAGGTAACAAAGAGTAATGACTAGATGTCTGCAAACCATTGCCTGAGTTTTAGCTTTTTAAAATTTATTTATTTTTATTTTAGGGCAGGCCACCATTATAGCTCTGCTGAAGATTTCTGTTTCTAGCCAAGGTTCAAGAGAGCAAATAAACCACCAAAAGCTTTTTGGTTTGAGTGATTCATTGCCTTTCCCAGCCCTCTCCTCACACTCTTCTTTTTTTTTCCATTTCACTTTCCATGCAGGCTGATTTCCTTTGGTTTTCCTTTGCGGTTAAACTAACAAGTAAAAACCTACATTGGTTTTGGCTTGTTATATAAGCAGAATCCAGTGCTTTCTTGAAAATCCCAGCCATCTACTATGTCTCTACTTGTCTGCCTCATCCAGGAGAAATTGTTTCCTTCATAGTTAATCTTTAGAATTGTAATGACATTCGGGTCTTCAAGCTTTTAATGGACTGAAAAAAGGGAGAGGCTTCCAATTACAGGTGTTTGTTTTATACCGTTCTCTGACATGGTGGATGGAATTATAAATTGTTCTCAGCACTAACCACAAATCCATGAGTGAGTTGTATTTTTCTTTGTTTTGTGCTGAGGTGAGTGGTGTAGTTATTTGAATGCCACTCGGTATTTTTATGGAACATTCTTATGCCTTTATCCATAACACCTTAAGATTGTCAAATAGAAGAAGTCTTGTTAGAGATGTATTTGCTGTTAATAAACAAGGACTTTAATATTTTTATACACAGATGAATTGGAAGCTTAATTGATAAGGGTTCATACCTATGTGGTCTCAGTCTGTCAGGAACTCAAAAATGCAGATATTTCTTTATAAAATTCAAAAGGCAACATTCTTTAATCTTTGGAAGGCAAAAAGATGCTATGAGTAACAAATTTTACTGACTTCTTTACACTTTTAGAAGGCAACTTTGTAGAAATTAAAACCTCGAAGTTTTAAAAGAATTTTTGTTGTTTGCTATTTTCAGATATGAATGCTTTTTGATATTTATTATATTTAATGCATTGATACTTACTACTTATTTTCCCTTTCTCCTATAGAATCTGGGACATTCAGGCATCTCTCTCTCTCTCTCTCTCTCTCTCTCTCTCTCTCTCTCTCTCTCTCTCTCTCTTCTCTCTTTCTCTCTCTCTGTCTCTCTCTGTCTGCCAATTTGAATGACATTTGAGGGTTTGTTATCTCGCAGAGTACTTTAATAATATTGTTATTTACTTTATTCGGGACTTCATGAAATCTGAGACTACATTTTGACTTCTGTTATTTATTAACCAAAATGGACTAAATTTTATATGCAAACCAATTTGTACACCAGCAATAGGTGCTAGTAAATACAGAGAACAGCATATGAACACTTGTGGCCTCTTTTAGACCAAAAGTTCAATTCCTATTTTTCATAAAAGGATATCATATTCAGCTAGGCTGAAAATCATTCAAAACTAACAGAGCTCAGACACAGTTACAGGTCTGATGGGTCTATTGCCTGTTCCCACTTCTTTGGATGAACCTGCCTGTGCTGCCTGAAACAAAATGGCAGGTGGACAGGACACACTCCAAGCAACCTCAGAGAGCCTACCCTGACTCCCTTTAAAGTACTATCTCCTCAGGCACCAGGAGCAGTTTGCGTAGCATGGAAAATAGCTAAAAATCTACAACAAAAATTAGAAATCTCAACTCTTACTTTTACTGTGGTTTGTGGCAAGGACATGGGGTGTTGAGCTTTTCTGTCACTAAGTCAAGAGAACCTGATTGTTCACCAAAGAGACAACAGGTTTTCTGGTAAAGGACATTTAATTTCTGTCTTAGATGGTGCTCTTCAGCATTGCCTGTGCTAACACTTGCTTTTATTGCAGCCCTGGAACCTCAGACTCTACCACCATCACAGTCAACAATAGGTAACAAAGTTTCCTTTAGTGAGAGAAAAACAATTATCTTTTACATCCTCTATCTTCAACTTTGTCCTGAACTTTGACTTTTTAAGCATGTATTTCTTAATTTTTCTTCACATCTTTCTATTAGCCATTTTTTACTAGAAGATAAACATTCTGCCTATGTTTGACTAAGTAGAGGTTCAGAAACAGTCATGAAAGCCATATTGATTTTGATTTAACACATTTTTATTGTCCCTCCTTATATTTGAAGAATGTGCCCTGAGCTTCTTTTAACCTGGTAATTTCCAGTGAAGGACCGTGGCTTCCTTAGGACGTATTTGTGCTCTCACTTTTGGAGGTGTTTTTCTTTCTTTCATAACCCCAACGTTTGTAGAGTTTCTTGAAAAACATTATGGTCTCTCCAGATCTATATATCCTGATGTGTCACTAGGAAATTCATTAAAAGAGAGAAATCAAAAAACTAACCCCAATCTTTATAGCTTCTTTTTTTTTCAAGAGAGCAAAGAAAAGTGTTCTGCTGGTGACTTCTTAGCCAATTACCCATATTTTCCCTCATAACATGAACTGTTGGTTATTTTATTGCATTTACATCTTCCAAATGAGAATCATACCTTTCCATTTCTCTTTCCAAATTTAACTGGCTACGTTTTTGGTCATTTTGCCTAAAAACACAGAAATCTATTTAAATAAAAAAGGAATTTCTTATGTGGATAAAAGTTTCACCATTTATATTTGTTCAACTTAGTAATTAAAAATTAAGCATTTTTCATATTTAAATAGATTTAATCATTTTTTCTTTAATTTTGATATTTTCTTGATGATTTTTCATGCAGTCGTAGAACCTGGAACACTGGGAACCAAACCTTCAACAACAACATTAGGTAATGCAGTTATTGAGTGAATGACCTTTGTTTCCTCTTTACCTGACTGCTGGTATCTTGATTAACAGGCTCTCATTAATGGAGCAATTCATTAATGTCCATTTTTGTGTGTGTGTGTGTGTGTGTGTGTGTGTGTGTGTGTGTGTGTGTAGTCTCTGTTCTTCCAGAGAAAAATTTTAGATCCTTTAGTTTTATAAACTATGTCTTATTTTTTAAAAAGTTGTCATTCCTGAAATAATTTCTGAATTCAAAGCCTTTTAATACATCTCATTGATTTGCATATTTTTAATGTTATGTGAAAAACTTCTGCTTTCAAATCTTAGGCCAAATAAATTTTAATTTTTTACCTTGCGTAGCTTTTTAAAAGCATTTTTTCTCATATTCCTATTGAACGTGCACCTTCAAATTTTTATGTGACTCTCTTCTCTAAGCTATATAGAGTTCTGGGTTTTCCATCTTAAAATGGAAGAATGGGGAATCTTTGGACAGTGATTGTTTATGAATCTTTGACAAATAAAAATATTATTCAAGATCTCACTTCACTGGGTGAATAATGATAGAAAGTTGCAAAACAGAAGGGTACATATCCAAAATAAATGAATGGCTTAAATGTGCTGCTAAAGTACATGTAGTATTGATTGTCAGTTTGTCAAGCTACCGCACCTGTATTAACTAGCTAATTTTCTTTCTTCAGCTCTACCAAAGACCAAACGACCTCGTCGCCCCCGCCCTAAAACCTCACCTAGTCCAGATGTGCCCAAGTCCAAACCTGGTAAATGTGGTGTTCAGGGTTCCAGTTAACATAGAAAGTGGAATATGATAGCTTCTGATATAGTAGCTACCTACTACCTAAATAACTGGACTTGAAAATTCAATATAGTTGATTTTTATATTTAAGCATCTATACTTACTTCCTATATTCATGTTACATGAATATGTACTTATATTTTTATTTGCAGGTACACACAACAGTAAGCTGACCCACTAACTGGGTCATTAAAGTAGGGCACCCTAAAAAGTCTTATGTAAGATGCATATTCAGAGCAATAAGGAGAAGAGGGGTGAATGGGAAAAATAAAAGGGAAAATCACATTTACAAAACTCAGTTTACGGAAAGATTAAGGAGTAATATTGTCTTACTCAGGATGCCGCTTCTTGATATAGTGTTTTTGGTTTTTTGCTTCTATAGCCCTGGAACCAGCTACAGTACAGCCGGAGCTCTCGGTACCCACAATCGGTAATTCTACGCTCCTCCAAATGCTTTCACGTTGTCACTTTTGCTTTTTCTAGTCTCCACCCAGGCATGATTACACTTCTACCACACCACCAGAATTTCATTTCATGCTTCCCTTCGCATTTCCTATCTGGGTCTGAAGAGCCTAAAAATAGGAGACTTCTAGAAGCATCCTCTGTGCTTATTTAAGGAAGGTCTGTGGTCTAGGACACAACTTCCTGGTTCTCCACAAATCCTCTGCCTTTTCCATCACATGTGTCCTCATGTTGAGAAAACCATTTACTCTTTTGCAGACAGGGGCTTCTGTGATCATCCTGGACTTGACAAATGACAAAATTTTATTCCAGTGCCATGATTATCATTTCATCGCTTTACTCATTCAACTTGTAAGACTTTCTCCCTTTTAAAAAAAACTGAAATAATGGCTTCTTCAGCTTTTCTTTTTCTTTGAAGGATGCTTTTGAGTATTTTGATACTTAAAAAATGCAAATACTGTTCTTGGTCTAGGGTCCAATGTAAAAATAGTATGATTTTTGAACTTGAGAACGTTAATGGTCCCAAGCTGGTTTTATTAGTTTTAGTATTAATGCTGTTTGATTATAATTATTTTATTATAAATTTTTAGCATTCAAAATAAATCGATCAATCCTTTACTTTGGAAAACGCCAGAAACCAGTAGCCATGTGACATGTATAGTTTCAAGTGTTATGGATTATTTTCCAGGTCTCCTACTAAGCAAGTTTCAAATTTCTACCTTACTGTTTCTATACTGAAAAAAAAACAACCTATCAATTAAGAAATAGAACTATTATACTTGTCACTTTTAACATTACTTATGTAGGAAAAAGCTCTATTATAGTTCTCATTACTTTTGCTCAAAGACACATTTTAAGCATTTCCTGTAGATTTTTCCTTTTGGAAAAATAAGTAGAAATGGACGTATTTTCCACTCTCCCCATACCCCAGGAGTTAATTTTGTTTACGAGTATATTCACTGAATTGATATAATATCTTTGTTCAAGCACAAGTGTCCTTAATTCTGACAGTTACAGCCATGACCATTCACAGCTCCGTTGTGACACTAATAATAGCACCTATTTTTCTTCACATTCAAAACCACCAAAACAATTACTTCCTAAACCCCAAACCACAGCAAAACCAGATATGCCACCAACAAAATTCAGTAAACATAATTTTCAGTGTTTTAGTTTAAAAAGCCTTTTCTTTGAAAGTGTTGTTACAATTTGCTATATCCTATAAAGCATAGAAACCCAAGTACCATGATTTTGTTCATCGTCTTCTCAAAGTAGTCACACTGATGTCTTAATTGTTAAGTGAACAAATCAAGGTGTGGGAAATTAGTAAATTTTACATCTGTTAGTCTGACAGATTTCATTTTCTTAAAGAATTTTTAGGCTTTGTTTTCTGAATTAGGGTTTGTAATGAGTAGAAGCCTGGTTTTTCTGTATCTGGAAATTTCTGAAAGTGATTTTAGCAGCCACTGGCCACCCTCAGGAGGCTGACACTGTATTCTTTATAAGCACATAATCAGAGATTGGCACCCTCTGAAATACCTTATTGGCATTTTAAACAGTAACTATTTACTGAGTGATTTCCTACCAAATAAGAAAATATTTATATAACTTCTAAAAAAATAGCTATTTTGCAACTGAAAATTTCTCCTAAGATTCCAGTTACTGTAAAATTCTAATTTACTAAGAGAGCACCTCTGATGATAAATAAGCCTATCAAGAAGGAAATGTATGTCAATTCAGAATAAACCTGATTCTATATCCTGTGAATTAAGCATCAGTGAGCTCCTAAAAGTTTAGACTTCCTTCCTTTTATTATTTATACATGTTTATTGTTTATGATGCAGTCTTTGAGCCCATTATATTTGAGACTGAAGCTCCCTCCATAACCATAGGTAATGATGGATGTCTTCCTCCATGATCAGCGTTTCTCTCATCTCACCACCAACATTCCTCAAAACAAATATTAATAATGATGGAAAAAGCCTTTCAAATACTAATAGAAGCATTCATAATAATTTTTCAGAGTAATTTAAAATGCATATCAGACAACTAAGAAAATTTTTTGGAGCCAGAAAAAAAGAAAAAAGCTATTCATGGGCCCCGTAGGGACATGGAATGCAAAGGGAATGGCTATTTTGTGAGTACAGCCAGTTATTACAGAACACATACTATGTGTCCAGAGTTCAAAAGTGCTTTTTAAACATTTTCAAGATATATTTTTTTTCTTTTCCCATGTTTCTGCTTATTGTATTGCTTTTGGTCAGTTCCTGCCACAGATATTGAACCTGTAATTCTGAGAACTGAGGCTCCCCAGGCAACAGTAGGTAATGACCTTTTATGTCTTTAAACAAGTGTAGTTTCTGCTCATTGCCCCGCCTAGTCCCTTACTATCTTGGTCAAGGACTTTTCTCTTTCCTAAGATTTTTTCATCATCCTCTCTTGTCACTCGCCTAAATCCTTCATTTTGAATGTATTGAAGATGTCTAAAACAATTTACTTGGTTAGAATATAAGCCAGTTTGCAGCTAGTGTAGAACATCTATCTCCTATACTATCTAGCTTTATTAATGCTTTACAGAGCCTGTGGTTCTTCTCTGTGCTCTGGGGTAAAACTGAATTTCAAATACAATTATTAATAGGAGCATCTGTCCCACAGCCATCATTTATAATTCTCTTGGCATCAACAGAAAGTCGTTTTGAGATATGCAGGGTATTTTTATTGTCTACCAAGGATTTTAAGAAATGAACTGTGCTTATTCTAATAATGTTTAGTGGGATGTATGCCTAAGTGAAGTAATTTCTAAGTACAGTCTCCCAAAGCAGGTGACCCTGGGTCCATCTCTGATGTGACATGGACATGCTGTGCTTTTGACTGCCCTTGAATCAGAATCATGTTTGAAACTGACACCAGCAATAATAATAACATTTTTAGATTATTCAAATAATGTTATATAGTCTTTCTCAAAAGAACTGTCATTAGAACCCCTCAAAAAATATTTTCTGTGTGTAGATGACAAAAGTTTGAACTGAAGAGATAAATTGCTCAAAACTCAAGAAAACCTAGCAAAATTTTAGAAAACCTAGAGCCATGAATATTCCTTTTTTTAGTTTCTGGAGTCATAAGATGGCATTAACCAGTTTCCTTTCTTCAGCTTCAAAAACATCACAACGACCAAGAACACGTCGTCCACATCCCAGACGTTCAAAACATCCTAAACATAAAACCACGCCAAGCCCAGAGGCACCTAAGGCCGAACTAGGTAAATATGTGGTGCCTGGGGAACCCTGTCAGATGTGATTGATACTGAGGTTGCAGTTTAACTTGCTACCTACTAACCCCTGTGACCCTTGAGGGTGAAGGTGCAAGTCAAACTGCTCTAGTCAATACCTGTGACTTCCTCATGCAGCTTAGTATCTTCTTGGTACCTGTGTTTTTTATTTGCTTCTCTGACCATTGAATTACATTTTTCTCTTTGATTCTGGCTCAGCAACACCTTATCTAGTTGAGTATCTAGCTAGTATATTTAGTTCACTTTAGTCCCATATTTTATTAAGTGCCACATTAGTATCTATGAGGCATAGTTTAGAAATAACAAATGACTTAGTTTGGTTGAAGAAGGAAACTGCTCCTGTGTGAAGCTATTCATAAATAGGTATAAAGGAATATGGGCCAAAGCAACATATTTGTTGAGTTTTACCTACTGTTAGGCACATAGTTAATTCTTAGAGAAATAAAAGATCAATGAACTGATAAGTGTAATGTGAACCTTAAAATTTGTGCAGTTTGCAGATTTGTTGGAGAGATGGGCAGAAATAGGACAGAGGCAGGAAGGTGCCATATGTGTGGGCGAGAGCAGGATAAAGATTAGAAGTGCAACCTGATTGTGAGAAAGGAGAAAGGCAGTGTTCATTTAGCTGGAGCTCATAAATTTTGGTCAATGATGTTACTATTAGATGGGTCCATGAAGACGACTTTCAATGCCCAACTTCAGTGATTGGATTTGAGCAAATTGACTAGAGCAGGGGTCAGCAAACTTTTGAGATGGAAGAGCCAATCCTGTCCCTCAAAGTTAGGTAAGACTTATAAAACAAATGAAATCACCAATATGTGAATAATATCCTTTAAAATTTTTATAAGTGAAACTATGATAGTTTTATTTTCATTTTCAATTTTACTTCAGAGCCACAGGTACGTACCCAAAGAGCCACATGTGGCTCGTGAGCCGCAGTTTGCCGACCCCTGGACTAGAGCAATAGACTCCTATCTTCCCAGCAGGACCTTTTTGATCCTGATAACAAAAAAATGCACTGACAAGTTTCTCAGATTAAAGGACCCTCTGAATATGCCTTTGTTTGTACAGAGGTCTTGGTCTTTTTCCAAAGTGGATTCTCAACAAAAAGAGCACTAGCAATTTTGGTTATTATAATATCTCCTTAAATATATCAACTATTACATCTATCATGACCTAGGGCATTGTTTCCCAAAATGTAGTGTTATAAACTATACTTTTTCTCTACAGTTTCTTTCACATTCTTTTCTCATAACTGTTAGCCATGATGTTCTTAGACAGATGCTTAAAGATTTTTCTAAGAAGGATTTTCTATTATCAGATAATACAAAAACAAGCAAAGGGTATAACCATTTCATAAGAACAAGTGTCTTTGTACCATCACCTCAGAACTTTAAATTTTTTGCTTTTTGGCTGTAGAACAAGTGCTACACTGGTAAAGTTCGTTTTAGAGTGTGGTGACTTTTCGAATGTGTTTAACATTTCTCGTTTTAATTACTTTTGATATTTCTTGCTACAGACATTGAACCTATTACTCCTGGGACATCTTTAGGTAATGATTGTCTATGTCCTTCAGAAAGTGCTTTTTCTTATTCATTGTCAACTTATCTATGGTGCTATATAAATGATGATGTCATAATTTGTCATCCTATTACAGTATTCATCTTAAAATATAAAAGGCTTTCTTTCTAGCACAAATGTGTATGGACTTAATTCAAGAATATGTTCCATATCCCAGGTTGAAATTGCATCACCTTGAGCAGAGTCTCTTTTTAAACAGTGCTGTTTGTTAGAGCTGAGGTCTAAATTTGATTACATATCCTTTACTTAGACCACCAATACTGTATCAATTATGATACCATGAGGCTTCATTAAGCATCTCACTTTCTATATTTCAAGTTCTACATGATGTTTTCTACTTTGTTGATGTTTCAGTAAATGTTGTATACTATATTCTAGTAAATAACCAAGTGGACAATTTGCTCAAACCTAGTCATTTCAAATTGTAAGTGAATACTATTGGGGGAACTTCCCTCACACCATCATCATTTAGCAGTGATTTGTAACCAGTTTTGGATTAGGGACACTTTCAAGAAAACCATAGTTTCTCATCTTCATTTCTTAAACATAATTTTAATCTGGAGAATTATAAAAGAAAACCTATTAGTATACTAAAGGAGAACATTTCAAACCAAAGTAACAAAGTTCTCTGCACTCAAAAAAACTCTGACAAGTGTTAGAAACATAGAGCCATATTATATCATCCTATTCAGTTTATGGAGCCATCAACACTATATTAATACTAAATTTTCTTCCTTCAGCTCCAACAACAACAACAACAACAACAACAAAGAGACCCCGTCGTCCACGTCCCAAATCTAAAACCACACCCCATCCAGAAGTACCTCAGGTCAAACTGGGTAAATATGCAGTTTCTAGTTTAAGGAATCCAAGCAGTCTACCCCAGTTGAGACCCTAAATTCTATGCACATGCCATGGTACATGCCCTGTATATCTCTTAAGAGTAAAAGCTACTAGTTAGGAGAACATGAGATATCTGAGTATCTCATGCTTCCTGTGTGGGAATCTTCTCCATCAATGATCATTTCATTTACTTATTATTTGATTCCATTAATGTCGTAAAGATAAAGCTTACTCAGTATTGAGTCTACACAATCAATTTAAATCGGCTACTTTTATTAATCTCTTCTAAATCCCCATAACCATATTAGCAGCTGTGAGATACATCAGAAGTAGGAAGTATGTTTTATTTCCCAGTCGGTTTGTGCTATAGTTTAAACTGTCCCTGCGTAAACAAGTAGAAAATCACATACGGCAGCATATTTATACAAATGGAAAAGTTTTCAAATGGTACAAATGCTATATGCTAGGAGTGTGGTAAATATTTGGAGCAGGAAAAAAATCCAGGGTAATTCGAAAGAAATCAATACAGAATTTGGATGAGTGGGGAGATGAGGGAACAAAAGATGACAAGCAGGGAATGTGTTGAAACTGGCATGCCAGACAGAGGATGACTTGTTGATGCTCTCTTGTTAAATGGGCTCATAAGATCAATTAAAAGGGAATCTGGGATGTCTACTCAAGAGCTTGAATTTGATCCAATGGGCTCCAGTGATCCTTTTCTGCACCAGACCATGCTTTCTCTTTTCTTAGAACTGAAGATGCCTGGTCTGATATGATACCACAAACTGAGAGGTTGTTCCTCACCTTATTATGTTAAATGTCCCTGTTTTCACTAAGGACTTAGTCGCTTAGTGAGTATAGTCTCAGCTTCCTTTGGCTATCTGTCATATGTATGGTAGACAGACCATAGGGTGACCCCCTACTCCCCATCTGCCTCCATCTCCCACTCCATAATTCCTGCCTTTGGTGTTAAAGCCTTTGTGTAATCCATCTTTCCCCTCCCTCTCCCCCCTCTTCCTTAGAAACATTAGAAACCTTATGTTCACTGACAGGATGAATTTTCTGATATTTCATGCATTCACCAAAATGTTTTTGGTTTCTTTTATTACTTTTGATCAGTTCCTGCCACAGTGTTTGAACCAGTTATTCTTATAACCGAGGCTCCAGGGACGACACTAGGTAATGACACATTTTGTTCATCAGCATCTGCTTTTTCTGCCCATTTCAAACCCATTTCATCACCATCATAACCACAGCTTCTCCGCTTCACAGGCCTTCTGTGTCATCCTCTATTGTCATTCAATTATTTCTTAATGCATTGAAGAGTATTAAAATAACTCTCTTGTTTTTTAAGAGAGCCAAGTGTAACAAGTATAATCTTATCCACAGCTTTTGGAACTAAAAACACTCTATTAACCAGCGGTTTTCTTCCTTTAGCTCCCAAAGTGCCTGAACAAACTCATCATCCATGTCCCAAACCTAAAACCACACCAAGTCCTGAAGCACCTCAGACTGAACTGGGTAAATGTGTAGACCCTGGATAAGGAACCCTGGCAGCCCAACCCCGTAGGGTCCACAGAAAGTGAAGGGACAAGTCAGGGTCAGCAGCTGCTCCCACTCCAGAGTAGGCATGAAAACATGGTTGGAGATATTTTCGGTGGTAGCCAACTTCCTTCTACTTTGGGAATTGGAATGTTCTCACTAAATGGCTGTTCAATTGACTTCTTATTTGATTCTACTCATCCTTTAAACATTGAATGTGTATGGCAGACTGGAACAATTACAGAATGAACATATGTTTGGGCAAATAGGAAATTATTTCTTGGTAACTATAAAAGTTGTGTAAGTCATAGTAAGGATCTGTGGCCAGAGTGGGCAAGCATTCTTTATAAATGGCTAGATAGTAAATATTTGGGGGCATTGGGGGCCATATAGTCTCTGTTGCATATTTTTTCTCTTTTTATCATATATATATATATATATAAAACCACTTAAAACACGAAAGAAAAAAATCATTCTTTGCTCTCATGGGCTATTTGAAAACAAGGCATGGACAAGAGTTGGCCTACAGGCCATTGTTTGTGGAGGAAAGGAGGTAGAGAAGTACAGAAAGCAAGGACATGTGTGGAGGCCAGTCAGAGGAGGCAGAGGCGTCTCTGACCAGTGGATGCTGCCAGGCTTCTAAGTGTTGATCAGAGCATTTCATTGAGGTTGCTGCAGCTAATTGGGCCCATAGTTCACCAGTTCAAAAGGGATTTTGAATTTGAACTTTGGGATTTGGATTTTATGTAAGAATCATCAGCATCCGTACATGGTCAGGCTTCCCCTGAGCACTGGACAGAGAGATACCCTGCTGTATCTCAGACTGAATCAGACTGAATGGCTGTCTCTTACTTACTTTAATCTCCTAAGTATCCTGGTGGTGAGTTTTCCACAAGATCTGTATGGCCTACTTTGGTACATTACTTAGACTAGGATCACCAAAGGGTGAGAAACTTCAGTGGGAAATTCACAGGGGTAGTTATCTGAGTACAAAGATAGATCCTACTAAGTGATAAATTGGTACTTGAGTGCAGAGATACCATATCCCTCAGCTCAGAGAGTTAATAATGTTTGCTTTATACTCTAGATACATTATTACTTTGGTACAATCTTTTCTGAAGTGAATGTTCTGAGATTATATAAATGTTTAACATTTCATTGTTTTTTCTTAATTATTATTTTTGGTCAGTTCCTGCTATAATCTTTCAACCAGTTGCTCCTTTAAAGAGGCTCTGGGGACAGTATTTGGTGATGTCACTTTCTGACCTTCAGCAAGTGCTTTTTTTGCTCACCATCAAACCCATTCCACTCTATCACCATTCAATTACATTCTTCATCTTATGAGTTGAACATGCATAAAGCAAGTTACCTCTTGTTCCTAAGAGAACCATGCCAAAATCTAGTTTGGGATAGCTTGCTGCCCTATAATTTACATTAAAATTTTTTCATGCCACCTTATGTTTTTGTATTGACCAGAGTTCTCTGTTAAGGTAAATTTCATGTATCTATGGGAGTACCTGTTCTTGATCTATGCTAACCAGACTCTAATAAGGGGGTTCTTTATGCATTATTTGTACAGCCACCTTTTTTAAATCTGCCTGGGTTTTTGTTTTGTTTTTGGTGTTTTGTTAACATTTGGGTAATATGATTTCATTGTATTGTCTAACAGATAATGTGATCAAGGCCAATAAGTTTAAATAGCAACCCTAATCCTTAGGGTTAATCTGACTCCCCTTACTCACCACCAGTGTTTAGAAATGATTCTTAACCTTTTTAATGCAGTCAGGGAACTCTAGGATAATGTGATAAAAATATCAATCTTCACTCGCTGTGTTCATAACTTCATTTTTATGTCTATCATGTCCCCCTCAAATATCTTCAATAACAAAAGGAGATACAGAAGCATGGTAGGGGCAAATTTTTCACACTAGAGAGGTACATTTTCTGAAACTCAAGAAAATCTATCAAGTTTTGGAAAACTTAAAGGAGACATTTTTTAACCCTATAATTTTCAGAGCCATCAACTTTGAAGTAACTAAAAGTTATTTTGTTCCACTCCAAAAACATCCCAATGGATGTGTCATTCACAACACAAAACCATTCCATGTCCAGATGCACTTGAGACTACACTAGATAAAAGCAGAGTCCTTGGTTTAAGGGGCCTGGGAGCCTGTCACTGGTTGAGAATGTCAACCCACATATCCCCTAGTGAGGGAATCATAATGAGTTCATGTTTGGAAGAGACATTCCTTCCTCTGACTCTGGGTAGTAGGCGACACATTTTACTTTTCAGTCTGCAGGCTAGTTGAGCACAAAAATTTTCCCTTCATGAAAAGTCTATAGAGAATGAGAATAAAGCAGGGTGTTTTGGCAAATTCAGGATTTCTCTTGGGTACATAAACATTAGATGTTAGACTCATTATATAAGGTCTTATAGAAGTAAAAAAATCTATTGGGATTTCAGTAGAGGAGGGACGAAGTCTGAGCCTTGACATTGCACAAGAATTTACACAGGTAAAGAGGTGAGAGTGAACAAAGATGAAAAATAGGACACGTGTAGAGGTAACCAGAGGGGACAGAGATCCTGCTGCTTCTAAGTGTCAGTCAAAACATTAGTATTGGTGATTCTGCATTTGGATATCCTGATGGGAAGTTAAGGAGGCTGATATTATTCTCATGGGCATCAGAAATCTCTTCCTTCCATACTGGCTAAAAGTTTTTCATCTACTGATAGTTGATGGGAGCTAAACAGAGACCAAAAGTAATGACTATGTTATGAGATGAAGAAGTCCCTAACTACAGTTTGGCTAAATCTGGACAAAACAATTGATTTCCCTTTGCATTAGTTTACTAGAGCTGCCACGATAAACTAGCCCAGACTGGGTGGCTTAAATAACAGAAATCTATTTTTTACAAATTTGCAGGCTGGAACTCTAAGACCAAGGTGCCAGCAGGTTTAATTTCTCCTGAGGTCTTTCTCCTTGTCTTGCAGATGGCTGCCATCTTGCTATATCCTCACATAGCATTTCTCTGTGCACAAGCATCCCTCCTCTCTCTCCCTCTTCTTATAATAACATCAGTCCTATTGGATTAGAGCCCCACCCTTATCACCTCATTTAGTCTTAATTGACCCCTAAAGGTCCCATCTCCAGATACAGTCACATTGGGGGTTAGGGCTTCAACATGAATTTTAGGGAGACACAATTCAGTCCAGAACTCTCTTCATACAAAAATTAAAAAAAAAAAGAAAGAAAAATTATTTTAGAGGCTATAGTATACTTGCAAGATTCATTTTGAAGTGAATATTAATACTTAAAAACAAACTTTTATTTTATTACTTCGGTTCCTGTTACAGACCTTGAACCTGTTACTTTTACAACTGAGACCTCTGGGACGACATTAGGTAATGACTCTATGCCATTTGCGGAGTACTTTTGCTGCTCTTTGTATAATCCATTCAGTCTCCATTCCCATAACATGGCTCTTTTTTCTTTGAGAGAGCCACTATCATCCTCCATTGCCATCCAATCACTTCCTTCATCCGAAGAGTACTGACGCCTCTTAAAAACAAGTTTCCTGTTGTTTTTATGAGAGCAGGCATGAGCTTAGTTCAAAATGTTTTGCTGTATGGTGCATTTGAAATTGTCACATAATTTTGTGCTCCGTTGAACAGCATTCTGTGTTAAAGCTGAGCTTAAAACAAATTGGGATCTATTTCTTATCTAGGCTTATCTACAATAACAGCTGCTCTTACGTGCCTTTGCACAGCTAAGTTTCCAGGTTTTAAAAAAACTATTTGCATGTTGTTTCTTTGTTGGTGCTTTAAGTAATGATGTATTTTGTTACTATTTGACAATAAGGGCTTACCCAAATCTGAAAATTTAAATTAGAGGATCTTCCTTAGTATGACTAACTTCCTCACCCCTTGCACCACAGTTGAGCACTACTTCCCAATCATTTTTCCCAATGAGAAAGTTCTATGAGTACTTGATTACAAGTGCTGATCTTCATGACTTGAATGACTGACTTCACTACACATATGAGTTTACCCCCACAGTACCCTTAATGCTAAAAGGATACATTGGCATAAAATGAGTAAAAATTTTAAACTACGAACAATTTCTGGAACTTTAGGAAATATAACAGGTTTTAGAAAAACCTCTCCTTAGTATCAAGAGCTGTAAGACCTAGAGTAAAACAAGGCTTTTTTTTCTTCAGCTACCAAAGCATCAAAAAGACCCCGTCGTCCACGCCCCAGACCTAAAACCACACCGAGCCCTCAAGTACCTCAGACCAAACTGGGTAAATGTGTGATTTCTTGGTGTAAGGGTGAGCCCTAGTATTCTAGTGGGGACCAAAAGCAGTGCCAAGCTCTTATTCTCTCTACATGTGAGGTCATGAGGCATAGTCAGTAATGTCTCCTTGCCCAGGTGTGAATGAGAATATGAGTGTGTGAGATACAGTGGGTGTCAGGATATCTTATTCTTTCTATGTGAGAGTCTTCTTTGATATGCATTTAGTATATTTCTTACTATCAAATTCCATTAAAATCTTAAAGCTTCTTTAGCAAAGCCAATATATTTAGTTCAAGTAAGTAAACAAATTGTAAGACCCTTGCATATTCTTGCCCCAATATTGGCAACTGTGGGCGATATGTCAGCTTCACGAGACCTTTTATTTCAATAAAGTTGAGTACGTGTTTGCATGATGCAAATAGTAAATATTGAACTTGAAAAGGAAAAGATCAAGGTGGATTAGATTGGACCTTGGACAAACTATAGGATTTGTATGAGTGGAGGGAAAAGTAAATCAACAGGACAGGACATGTGGGTGGGTGAGGGTGGATCAGCCATAAAGGCCGTCCAGTATGCCTGGAACAGACTGTCCTACTTCTAGATGATCAAAACATGGCTGTTGATGATGTTGCATTTGGAAGGGTCCATCTGGACAGTTGAAAGAGTACCTTAGTCAGGAGCTTAGATTTGATGCAGATATCATCTGTCTCCACGTTTTGGGGGCTTAGGCCAGACTTTTGCTCAACTGAGTATTACAAATTGAGCAACTATCTTTATCCTGCTCTCTTACATGCAATAGTTTGGACAGAGAACTCGAACTGTTTCCATAGATGACTTCTTGACAAGATCAACATAGTCTACTTCAGTGATAATTTTCATATCTATTTCAAACTTATAAACTATTTATCCATATTGACTTATAATAGTACTCATTTTCAGCTTCTATAGAAATATAGGTTGATCATATTTTTTATAGACAATTTCTTTTCTAAGTGTGTATTAGGTAAATGCATAAAAATATTTTCCAGAGCAGAGTTTTCTGTATCAGTTAGAATCTATTCATTAAAACCTAGGAGAACTTCATGTTGATTTCTTTAAGATATTCAAAATAGTTCCAAGTCTAAGCCTAAGACTGACTGTGACTATAGTTTGGCCAGGTCTTCAAAGCACAATCATGTATTGTTTTTCTCAGTTATTTTTTTTCTTTGTATCTACAGAAGGATTGATATACAAGTAAGATTGTTTGGATGTAAATGTTCTAACTTTCCATATATTTTAAAATCTCTTTGCTTACCATATTTTTGGTCAGTTCCTACTACAGTCCTCGAACCTCTTAGACCAGAGATCCCAGGACCAACATTAGGTAATGATACACTGTGTTTTCAACAAGGCTTATCCTGATTATTATAAAACCCAGAGTTTCATCCTGCTTCATGTGGCATGTCATCATTCTTTGTAGCCATTCATTTACATTTTTCTTAAAATTATGAAAACTGTTAAAACAAATTACCTGCTGTTTTTAATAGAACCAGTCATGCATAAACGTACTTTAGGACATTTATTTGCCAGGTAATCTATTCAAAATTGTGTCATGTCATTCTTTGTTTTGTTTAAGCAGTATTTGTAATAAAACTGGTTTTAAAACATATCATGGATCTCTACCTCTTATCTAGACAGATAAAACCATCAACAGCTATCACAGAACGAAGAGGATCCATTTATTGCACATCTATATTTCTACCTTTTTTTATTTGCATAGTATTTAGTTGTATTGTTTCTATTTAGGTAATACTGTGTTCTTATTTTAATAGTTATATGGGAATGTGCCCAAAATTGAAAGATTAAATTATAAATCTCAAATTTGGTATGACTGACCTTAAGTATCCATTAAAATTTAGCTATGGTTCTTAACTTTTTTAGTTGCCTAATCAAGCCTCCCTATGAGACTTTGATTATAATTACTAATCTTTATTTCTTTAATTAAAAAGTGATTTTTGCCTTCAAAGAATCTTCTATGATAAAAAAAGATATAAAAGGAGTATATTTGACAAAAATTTCAAACTAAAAAGGCAAATATCTAACAAGTTGTAAAA